ACTAAGCCCGCATAGTGGCATACTCAGTCAGTAGAAGGTTTCACGGAGGATTTGGAATGTTGTTCTGAAAGCTAACGCAATAAATGAACATGAAGCGTGCTTGCTTCGAGGAAAACCTAAGGATTTCAGGGTAACGAACTTTACACTGTAGATTGCTCGCATTCAGACTTACCATGTCGGCAACACTTTCCTTGAAGATGCTCAGTTTCTTCAGAAATGAGACCACTAAGATTTTTAGCTCATAGTTTTTGCGGCATAAACAGTGACAGAGAATGCTAACAATGCCCTTTTTCTGCATCTTTCCTTCAACATCGACATTCTCAGCTATGTTGAACAGGAGGTAGATGGCAACTAAAAGAATAGAAATAAAGTTAAAAAGTCTATCGAATATTTGGCCGAAATGCATAGGCAACAGTTGGCAGTAAATTCTTTCCATAAATAGCAAAACCGGTATAAGGATCTTTAAGACTGGCCGTCGCAATATCATTACGTATGAGCATATTGTGCAATTATTTGAAGCCAAATTAGACTGGTAATTTATCATGAAAATGTATCCGGTTAACAGATCTTCTAGTCAAAATAACATGAATGAACACCAAGAAAGCACAGGTATTGTATGTCGACTGGTGTTCTGATTTAAACAGCTTGGCCTCTCTTAACCTCGGTCATCGTATCTAATCGATAGTCCCTCAGCCGAGGCCGAAGACGAATCCAACCATTTTCTAGAGATGTGACAAACACCACGGGCTCATGTCCACAAAGATAACTGCTTCACCGTGCTCTTCTAGTAAATACAGAGCTTTCGGAAATAAAGAATATTTGTCCCTGATGTCAACTTTTATTTCTAAATCCACAATTAGTGTGTCCATAAACGTTTGTGCAAAGCAATCTTCTAATGAGGTATCGGTTTACATACTAAAAAACACATTCAACTTCCAACATATATTATGCCGTAGGAAGTCGTAAGTAGTTTTACCTAAGAAATTAGAACCGTCCCACGATTGTGGCCTGCCACCGAGATAAATACAGTCATTTGTAACGTTATGGGGGAAGTAGCATGTAAATATTCCATAATTGTACGTCTTGATATGCTGTTTTCCCCAGCTTACGCAACGAACAACAAAAAATATTCTAAGTCTGGGTCCAATAGAAACTTTTCCGTAGTGTCTTGTTTGTCTATAGCATCTTTAACAGAAGTCAGTATATCACCCCGAATAAAATTTACGAAAATACTGACATGCACTAGATAGCTAACAGTCTAGTACAGTACGGCCGGTATTTCATGCAAAATTAGGAAGTTTGCGAGCGATGGTCAATCGCACGACCACGACTTAGACCCCTGCAAGCGAAGGAGTGTTTCGATTTTAAAAGGGTTTCTGCCAAACGTTACAACTGAATAAAAGGTTTCCAAACTGCGCGCTGTGTATATCCTATGGAAGGAGAAGTAAGTTTTTCCCTAAGGTGTAAGGAAGAGGTCACGTGGTCCTCATAAAATTTGCAATAAAGGTGGATCATGCTGCATAAATTATAGACGGCATTAATAAATTGACGGATACGATGTACAATAAATGAAAACTTCACAGTCGTACGAAAATCTCTTGATAAGAAATCTTTTAAAACCAAAATATACCCCTCCTTTAGGCATACAATTTGAAGAAGGCGTATTTTTCTACCAAGGGAGTATAAGGAAGAATAATTTGATGACTATTTTTCTACAAACTGTATTTGAATTTATAAAAACAGTCAAAATCAAGAAGTTAAATGTATACTACTTAAGTAGCCATTATTTTACGGAATATACTTCTTAAGCGGTTAGACAGCAACTCATTAAAAAGCCGGCACGTGATTGAAATCACGTGGAATTAGGCTGCACGGTACTATATATTATCGTTTTACGAGTTACTATCAATCTTTCACAAACTTCGGAATTTTCCCTGAAATATGGCTCTACGCTAGTGTGGAAGCTATTATACCCAGTTGCCAAGACGTATAAAAGATCCAAAAGATGATCAATGTGCAGCCAGCTATGCTATGCTCGCAGACAACCGCCAAATGTGCACTGTCGCAGCCCTAATATGCGGCCAGATGACCGCACAAATAATTTCGAAATTACCTACCGCGGAAAAGTTGCTCCTGCTTTTTCAATAATACTCCAAATTTGTCATCACTCGACTTGAAGTCGAGGCTATATTCTCCATGATCTCGGCGCTTCTTTTCTAGCTCTTCAGTCCACAGGCCATATTTTTTCATTTCGTGGTCCAGGATAGTCATTGTCAGAGCACCTGAAATTCAGAGCAGTGAACAACATCTCAAACAGAAACTGGAGGCACGCACTACAAGTTGATTACTTCGAGTACGATAGATAAACAGACTGAGCAGCGAAAAGCGGCAAAGCTTAGGGATTTTTAGAAGCCCTTTTTGGTATCAACTTGAAGGTGCGGTTGCTAAGGCGGAGGTAAACAAATAAGGACGGCAATAAGGTAACAGTTCAATTTGGGTTCCCAAACAGCACGCGAAAACCCCATTGCTCCGTAACAGCGGACAGGTAGTAATAAGGGTTAAATGGTTAATGCATATCAGGAGAAAGAAGAAAAATTTAAAAAGTCGAGCGTACAATAGTAGAGAACAATAGGAATATCTATTTAGATAACCAAATTACCCAATATTTGCGCGCGAGGATTAAAATGACCCAATAGTGCCCAAATGGACCCAATCGTCGACTCTATATCAACTATATATCATATAAATGTGATGTAGATATTATATGGAAATTATATAGAGTCAACGATCGCGTCCAATTGAGTACTATTTGGTCATTTTAATTATCGCGCGCAAATAATCGATTATTTAAATAAGCTGTTTGGCGACTTAAATTAAACTGTTATCCCTGCTGCATCTGTAACCCACCCGTGTTCCAAAATATCTCTCCAGTTTTCGACGGCGTTCATTTTCCTATTTTTACTTCTCCAGATGAAGTGACTGAAACGTTACCGAGAAAGAAATCGAACCACTGGAGGCAAAGTTATCCTGAAAAAGTACCCCGTACTTTGCTACCACATTCGTCTAATTCGGAACCCCAGCTTCTACGTATTCATTCTGGTTATTCCGTGCATCCCCCTTTCCACCCTGATGATAGTCGTTTTCTGGATTCCGCCCGAGTCTCCGGCCAAGACGATGCTCGGTAAGTGCACTTTAGCAAGCCTGTGATTGCTATTTTCATCGGCTGCTTCGGAGTTGCCTCTCATGCTTAGCTCTTTTACCCTCTTTTCTGTCCAATGGCATTTAAACAATGGGGCCGCAGAAAAACCGTCCCTATTGTGCGCGACTGTCATATGTCACTCTTTGATGAACGTTCACCTGACCGCTAACGTGACTAGTCTGTCCCGCTCTGCCTTGGGCCTCGCCAGAGGCCCTGACAACCCTAACAGTTGGTAATATAGGGAGATAGTATTGTCGGCAAAGACAAGGGAGACTTGAATGGCCATTTCTGGCTGTCAGAGCCTCTGGCGTTTGACCCTGATCAAAAAGGTCGCGAGTTCGAGCCTCGAGCGGTACGCCACTTGGGGCTAACGAAGGCTAATAAGCCAGAAATAATTATTTTAGTCTCCCTTATCTTCCTCTCCTTCTATAATACGGGAGAGGTGCTAATAAGGGTTAAATAGGTGGGGAAAATCAGGAGAAAGAAAAATAATTAAAAAGTAGAGCGTATAAAAGGAGAAAATAATAGAAATGATTATGTTAATAACCAAATAAGCGAATATTTGCGCGCGATAATTAAAATGGCCCAATAGTGCCCAATTGGACACACTCGTCGACTGAATATCTCCTCTGTAGAATCTTTATATTATCGCTAGAGAGTTGATATAGAGATGATGTAGAGACGAAGATTGTGTTCAATTGGGCACTATTGGGCCATTTTACTTAGCACGCGCAAATATTCGCTTATTTAGCTAAGCTGTTTGGGAACTTAAATTGAACTGTTACCAGCATTACGACTCCTAGATACTTGTATCAACTATAGTAACTATACTCGTAAGTCCTTTTGAAACTGTCTATGAACACATAATCATAGACAGAAACAGTAACAGTCTCGCATCATGCTTCGACCGTCCATGTCATTAGCTGGGAAGATGTCGCGCCATCTGGTATTAAGTGTCTAATGTGATATAAAGGGGTAAAGTAGATGTGCTGATTTACAAATTGGTCAGCAGAGATACATTCCTCCACTAGACTTCGTCTCGACTTGTAACAGACGTGCGTAATTACATAGGTGGTCTCTCGAAGGGTTCGTAGTCTTCCTTCGGGATAATGACAGTAGATTTTTGGACTGCAAATTGGGCCCGACGCCATTAGTCTAATAAGATCACGTCCTTAGACCCGAGGTGACTTAAAAATTTGATTTACTGATTGGCCTGCGACAGAACTTTAGTTGCTAGGACAGTCCGCCGATGGGGGCTACCGTGAGCTCCGGTGTGGAGCTTCGATAGGCTTTCGTACTGTGATAAGCAACTGTTAATCGGTAACTGGTGGATACTGAGACGACCATTTCCGGTTTTTTTGCATCCATCAGCCAGGTAAACGTCGACGCTACTTAGAGAACGCTTCGCGTTCGGCGGGATCCCGTGTGAAACACCAAAGGGCTTTAAAATTTTAACAGACAGTAAACGATTGTAGGTGATAGAATTTCAGCCTAGATTTATGTTCAAACCACCATAGCGAGAGATTTGTAGAAGTATATACATGAGCAAAAAATGTCATCGAAGGTCGACGAACCTATTTTGAAGTGCAGGATGGCGCCGTGGAAATTTGTGAAAGAGGAAAAACAGAAGAAAACGTAGATGAGGTTAGTGGTGAGATCGGTGCTCTTCTTCCAGTCTTCTCGTAGGACTCTCGCCAGGGCACCCACCAGGATTTCTATCACAAAAGGTACATACATAATAGGAAGTTTATCGAGGATACATGACTGCAATCAACATCAAATCAAAGGCAAAAATTCCTGTTGCCCAAACTCTTAATTGTTATGCAGTGAAGGAACAGTGCACTAAAATCCCATACATAGTTACCCTGTCGAAATGTTCTAGAAGTTGGTTTTAAAGGCAGCACATGTTCAGGGTCACGCTAAAATATGCTTTCATTACCCAAACGTCGACAGGTATTTGTAATTACAATGTTTGCGCTTCCGTTCCGATTTATTTGGACGTAAGACACTTCCAGATTCTTGTATTGCTGATGGTATAAACTCCTGTGTATATGGATTATGCAAAAACGCAACAAATAAAACCTCAAGCGGAATTCAAAAAAGTATCTTCAAGTAAAATGCTGATTAGCAAGAAAAATAAAGCCAACTTGATTTTCGCATAGTGGCAATTCAGCTTGCGAACGATATTCGGAGCCCTCACTAACTTATCCCTTTATACCCCATTAATGAGGTAAATATTGACTGAAGCCATCATGCCTGTTGGGACTTACGTCTACACCTAAAGACAGATTTAGAGTGAGCACTTCCTTCTTTAAACGGTCCATAAACTCCTGTGAATGTGAAAAAAGACTTGCGTGTGTCGCAATGACTTCCGAATGTCTATTTGAAAGGCAAGCACGGATGGGTATTGCGTTATCACCTCCTCCCTCGGTACTTGTCGTTAATGGGTTTTTAAGTTATGTGTACGTTACCTAAAGACTACTCGGTGGCTGTTACTAAGTTCACCAAAAATGAGCTCCGCGAGAACCACGCACATATTCTGATATTTATGGGTATAAGGGAAGAGCGCCGGAAGGATTCATTACAAAAACAATAAAAATGGTCAGTAGATGAGATCACTTCAGAGGATTTAAAAAGCTCTCGTCAGTGAGAAGTAAATCCAAGAAGAATTCTGAAAAAAATTAAAATCCATTTTGGGTACTGATGTTATTATGCCTTTTTATTCATTCCCAATAAGGATAAAGTGAAACAGAATTTCAGTGCAGATTTTAACTACAGTTAGGAGTAGGATAAAGTTTCAGTTGACACTTTAGTTTACCTAGGACACACAATATAAATCTGATTCTAGTGCATTTTGCGTTAGGGCTATGCCGGTCCTAAGGAGAAAATAACGCTTCTTTAAGTTGACAAGTCGGGCTTGCAATTTGCACTTAAAATAGATGGAACCATGGATCCACCTTAAGTTTTGATCATATTTAAAATTGAGGAACTTCTTAAAATCATGCAATTACCAGGAGTTAATCATTGCAAAAGGCAATAAAAATGCCAGTTTAATTCCGTTTTTAATTTCATTTAAAATTTGTTTTATCCGGAAACCGAAATGTAGTCTTTAATTGGGTGGACATTCTGAATTTTGATATATCATCATAACGGACGTGAAAACACGTTCTCAGTAATCTACTAAACGTTTATAAAACGATGAAACATTCAAAAAACCTTATGGTGTCAGCAGTAACACTGAAAGCTGTTCAACCGCACGGCCTCAGTGGACAGTCATTTGCGAATATTGAACCTAACTTGGTGGCACCCATGAATGATCTGTCGACCATAACCCTCCAAAATTATTCTTAGTTAAAAAAGTTTTTGCAGGCAACATTAGGACCATGGAATTACCGTTTTGATAGAGTTCCTCAAGGTTATCTGGGTTTCTTGCCAACTGGAGAATGAGTGCAGACGCTCGCAACTTGTCCTTCGTGTCTTCATACAAAAGCTCTAAATAATCATCGATATCCGTCATATGTGCAGTCTCATCAATTTCCGTTGAATCAAAGGCTCCCGGATCCGCTGGCTTTCCTGGAGTTGAGGCTGTCTCGCCTAAAGATGTGTAGAAATTAATGCAAACGCTGATAACCTATGGTTGTTGTGATGCTCACAGAGGACTCTGTAGACTTTTGCTTACTTGTGCAGTGTTTGGAAAGTTATTTGGGTCAACTTATCATTTACAAGGATTCCCGGTTAATTCATCAAAATCACAGAAACTACTCACCTTCAATTCTATTTAATAAATATTCAACCCATGTATAACAGTTTTGTTGTATAAGTTCACTGTGCCTCAGTAGTTACTTGTAGGCTTATGAATGAGAATTTACCTGCAGGAAACTATAAATATGCATTTATTTTTTTAGTTGAAAGTGTTGCAGTCTTTGAAGGAAATCACCCGGTCTTTCGACCTTAAAATGTCCAGGAACTTTCTGTAGAAAGATTCTAGTAGAGTAATATTACACGAATTCTTAATTTGCATACAGAGTAATGCCCAACGCGGGGTAGGAACATTTCCCATCTTGAAACGCCCAAGCACACGGAGACAGTTTTTGAGCTAACAGTTTGGGAAGGCGCAAATAGAGCATATAAATAGCTTATTAGGCGTCATCTTTAAGTTCGCAAACATATGTTCAGCCACAATAAGGCAATCAATTTCGTTGTGCTTTAAAAGGTAGCTCAAAGTATCTTGTCAAGAAAGCTTTTTTACTTAAGTCCTCACAATTGTCCTTATTCACTGGCTGAATATGATCTCTCTTGATAACTGCAATCAAAGGGCGATTTGAGATACACAAATGTAATGCACCTGTCTGATTATTCTCAGTACAAGTAGACTGTACTCGTTGCCAATCAGCTACATTATCGTTACTTTCCCCACTTTTAAGTAAGGAACTTTGCAATATTTTTCTTATCTCAGTCACATAATTACACTTTGTTGTTCAAGTTAAGCCCGCCTTTGATATTTGACAAAATATACCTAACCTGCGTAGTATTCCTAGGAGCACGCACCTAATTTGCCGTTTGGTCTTCATAGACATTCTAAAAACGGTCATTTCTGGAGTTTGTTAAAGGCATTAATTTAACGTTCATTCATGTTTGCATTACAGTTGTAACAACTTCGAATCTGTTAATTTTCCAACGAAATGTCTGAAAAGATAGGGCAAGTTGGAGCAGAATACGTCCCACAAATGTATGGCTAGTCGCCCTTTCATAGTGTCTATCATCGCAGTTCGAGCCCATTTACTCAGAGGAATCAAATCGCCGATCGCCGGGTAAATAAATATCTGCTGGGGTAGAAAGACGCGGATGAAATTTGGGTCTTATTGCGCTACCAAGCCATCCAGTAAATTTAATTTATATATAGAAAATGATAGGAAGGGGAGTTGCGCTTTCATTCATATACGGTATATTTAGTTATGATAATCGAATGGACGCTGGCATGGACTCGAAAATATATATTCAAGTGTTGCTCTCCATAGGTCCTACCATTATCTTATCCTATCAAAAGGGTTACAATTTTGTATCAGATTATTTAGTTGAAGACTCAAATGGCATCATATAGTCTGCAGACATAGTTCTGTATTAAGAAGCCATGACATGGTTCTCTTTAATTCACGTTTGCAATTTGCTTCCGCGTAACTAGTGGACTAAGCCTTTATCGCTTGGCAATTAGTTTGAAACAGTCGCTTTATGCAACTTGAAAACGCAGATGTCACTCACTAGAAAAATTATACCGGAGCAAAATTTAAGTACAACAAATATCGGAGCGTCAGTTAAAGAACGTAAGCCATTTCATTCTGTGATAAACCAACTTGGCATATGGCAAATCAATCCTAGCGGTGTTTGCTCGACCTTCAAATGCGAAAAAGACTTTTTTGGAGCAGCTTACTGAAATAATAGGCATGTGCGCCAACTCAAAATGCACATATCCTGTCGGCCAAAAACAAAGCCCCACACAGATGATAGGAAGTTATTTTTCCCTTATTATCGTCCATTTCATGGCTTCCATAACAATTTCCATATACATATCTATCAGAAATGCATCAAAACGGAACTCGGGATTATGCCTAAATATTGCAGTCAGGTTTTTTGGAGAACGTAGAAGAGACCGTTCATTTGAGTCTTTGATTTTTAACCAGAAAAAAAGCGAACCTTTTCATATGTTCTTCAAAAACTCAGAAAAATGGTCAGATACTCCTGCTTGCATGTTCCAAACTTGAGACAACAGTAGTTCCAAACCCATTCAACAGAACTGTTAGCTGAAAGGCGACCGCACTGATAAGGGCCGATTTTTGAGATCCGAGCGCATTCGACCCAATGAGATAGCATTTTCTATGATAGAGGGCATATCAAGGCATACACAATCAATGATAGCTTTATTTTTCGTTTTGCTCTGTAGCCTGTCGTAAATATTCGAAACAAAAATAAATAGCAGATTTAGCTGCATAAGCATACCGATACTTATCTACGAATGGATATTATAATATATTTAATCACTAGACAAATCATCTATGGGACTCTCTTTTAACTATTAACCCTAAACCCGTATGTGTTACTGTCACACGGTCTAATGACTATATAAATGCATAGATTATTATTCGAATACGAACCTTTTTAGGTGCACCATAAATTAACTTATAAATTGAGTATGACTGGTAGTAAGCAATGACATCGACTACACGGAATCATAACTTTAAGCTACCCTAATTACACTCATATCTTCGAAACACCATGGTCTCCCACAATTCTCTGCATAGCGGAATGTACGGTCATACGGCTCCATGTAGCGAAGTATGTGCTCAAACTAATCTACTGCGAACTTTTTGACATGTAGAACGAGCAAAATACAAGGGACACTAGAATGGCCATTTCTGGTTTATTATCCAGCATCAGCCAGCCGTATCCAAACAGAGGGTGACGACCCCGAGGTTTAAACCCGTAGTTTTGTTAGCTAGAAGCCCAAAAATGTAAACACCGCGCCTTGGGCTTGTTGCCTTATTGGTTTAGATCAAGAATATACGAGGAACGGGAAATATGAGTGTCCGATTCGTTACTACTGGTGAATATATTCCAATGCACAAAACTACTTCTTACGGTCAGTTAGTTTATAGAGAAAAAGTGAATGGAGTTTTGAGGGTAAAGATGTTGAAAATAAAAATAAATATAAGAGAAACAAGCGAACTTCGAAAATCATAGAAAACGGACTTACGACTCTCCGGCTTTTTGGGTTTTCGTTTTAGAAGATATCGCAAAAGATGCTCAACCTCTGGCAGTTGAAATGGGGAAATCAGGTTGCAGTTCTCAACAATTTTCGCTGCCAACTCTGGAATGTCTGTTTTACTGTTGAGGTTCTTCAGACGAATACTGAAATTGTAAAATCTAAAAACACTTACATTTTTTGGCATTGTTTCTTGTCTCCTATCATTGGACCTCCGTGATCACCCAAAATAGCTGCCTCGGTCTCATAATGAACAACCAATGCTTTTTCAAATGGATGCACATCAATAGATCCGCCACGTATTTTTCTAAAACGACTTATTCGAAATAGACGGACGTACTTCGTAAGAAATTTCGGATCTATATTCATCGCAAAGTCGTAAATAATGAATTAGCAGCCCGGCGTATTTTAAGAGAGCCCGGTAGGAAAAGCTACTAGGCACAACAAAGGACTGTTGAAATATAGAGAGGATACATATGTATGGGTAAATTAACTTTCACAATTATCACACAAAAAGAACGCGAATCACTAGGGCCTCAAACATTTGAAAAACTGGGCATCCAAAATGGTGATTTAAACACAAAAGGGGCTGCGAAATGTCTGCGCCTAGGAGATCAGGCTCATAATATACATACATAATATACACACGTATTGTTTATGCATTTTTGTAAAAGGTTGTGTTGAACGAAGTTCTGAGCATAAAACGCTCGATAATTAAGAAAGCATTAAAGTGTTTGTGGTGTAAGCTACACAACCACTGAAGTACATGCGCATTGATAAGAATAAAAGATTAACCT